CTCGAATAGCTGAATAGTGCAACTTTAATATTCACTCACTCACTGATAAAGGAGTAAATTAATGTTTATTGTCGTCGCACTAAAAAGTAACACAAGGGCTATTGGAGGCGAATCTCGTAATTTTGAATCTTGATCAAACCAGTTCAAATAAAGAGGACTACACTAGAACAGGCAACTTCCTCTCCAAGCCCTAATAATGTTTCCTAATAATTCTAATGTCTTCATAAATCATATTCAAACATAACAAAAATGAAAATTATCGTTATATTTGTAAGTTCTGACAAATAATTTAAACTCGAACTGAAGCTAATTAACCAAAATAAAAACATTTATTTAAAAAGTTGCATGTTAATTGTACTTAAGAGGTAAGCATGTATCACTATAGTGGTTTTTTTGAATGGTTAAAACCTACATTCACGAAGCTCTTTCCACAAATGTTTTCTTAAAAGTGCTTCTTTTTCTTTCATAGGATACAGTGTGCATGCCATACATGACATTATGTATATCGGCAGCACTGTGTTCCAGACAGATTAGAGGTATCAAGACCTAAGTAACCCATTCACTTCCAAATGAATACATTGTTAATAACTGTTTGAAAGATGACTTTTTTCAATTTCTACTACTAATCTCCATCTCTCTCTCTGTGTGTCTCTCTCTGTCTCTGTCTCTTTCTCTGTCTCTCTCTATGACTATCTCTCTCTTTGTCTCTCTCTCTTTCTCTGTCTCTCTCTATGGCTCTCTCTCTTTGTCTCTCTCTCTGTCTTTCTCTTTATATATTGTTCAAATTTTCAAAATTTAATAAAATACTTTCTATTCATCTATTCAAGTTCAAATACATTTTTTAAACTTGTAGTGGATGACACTTGGTGTTAATACAGTTTTTCCAAATATTAATTCATTAATTAAATTAAAAAATGAATCAATAGTAACATACTTGAATAATAGTCCAACACCATATATATAAAAGAAAATCGTTCGTTGTGTCCCTGTAGCGCAATGAATAACGTGTTGGATTTCCAATCCAAAGGTCGTGGATTCAAATCCCATCTGGGATGACCTAATTTATGAGTATCTGATTTCTTTTTAATATACTATTTTATTAGAATAATTAAATTTAATTAATGAATAAATTGTAACACACACACAAACAAAAAAATAGTCCAACATCATATACAGAAAGGAGAATGGAAAATTGCAATTGAAATCGTTTTCTATTTTGTCGCTTAATATAGTGATTGTGTCATATATATATATATATATATATATATATATTAATTGTAACTATTTAATAAAAAGTAACTAAAATAAAACTTTTCTCTTTGTTTACCTAAGTAGGAATTGACTAATAATTTTTTTTATTTTACTTGTGTAAGTGTATTCTCACCATATATAACATGCACTCCTTACAGTAATATTCAAATTTAAAGGAAATACTACAAACAAAAAAACTGCTTATTTTTTTTAATTACTTGCCATACTATCCATTAAATGTCAGATATTTACCGTATTCTTATACTTATTCTTAATTCCTTTCATGGTATTGCGGCTTTCCAAATTACTTAAAAATAGTGTGTAATGGTGCGAGAGCGTCAATTTCTCCTGATGCGTGAAGCATTTTCACTTCAAAAATGTCTTCAGAAGTACCAATTAAATAAAACTCATTCACTAAATCTGTATTATTGAAAAGGTAGTACTGTATCTCTTATTGTCGTTGTGTTAATAACTGTTTGGTTTGATTTGACAAGTTGAATCTTATGCCATCATGCAGGAGTTAAATACCTTCACGGAGTATTTTCGGTTTTTTCCTTCTTAGGGTTGTATGCCATTTTTAGAGAGCGAGCGATCAATAAAATTTCAAAACTCAAAAATTGTATGCTCTATGATTACAAAAGTCGTATTTTTTTTCCGGGATCTCTCTTCAGCCTTGGATAAAACAAATGTTGTTGTTGTTGTTGTTTTCCTATGTCCTTTTTGGCATATCCACTATTAGTCGACAGACAGCCCAATAAAATGATAACAAAGCTTAAAAAATTTGAAATTTGCCTAGAATTGTCTACAAAAGACTTTAAAACAATAGGGCAGTGTCTGAGGTGTTCATCATCCATTTCACAATGGTGGCTCAGAGGGCAACAAGTCGAATTCTTTTCTCCGATGCGATGTAAATACCTCTGCAAATGATCATGTCCAGTAAGTAAACGAAAGCAAGCAACTCCAACAGATCGAGACAGGGAACTGGGGACTCCACCACTTTTGTTAAGCAAGATATTCCACCTTTTAACTACAGCTGCATCACAATACATGGAGGCACTATTAATCTGCAGTTTACTGTAAATGTTTATTTTGATGTTACGCAGAGGCAAAGGAGAGTCAAATTGGGACATGAAAGATTCCGCTTTAGCAAGCCTATTTGCTTTCTCATTTCCAGAAATGTTACAATGGCTGGGAATCCACTGGAGTGCAATGCTTTCTCTAGACCTTCCAAGTTTAATTAACTTCATTCTACAGGAATAAACTAGTGCGTTCTCATTATATCTTGAGTTTATTACATACAAAATGGTAGTTTGAGAATCGATAAAAAAATACAATATTGCGTTCAGAACAGCAAATGTGTGTCCAATTTTTATTACTATACGAATTATAGTGTCTAACAATGTACAGCAAGAAGCTAGTCTTACACACACACAATTCACATAAAAACCACGTGCATCTTTATTTTTGGAAAATCTTACATATCCTTGTAATGGAAAAATATAATAATCACTTTATTTATTCATTAGAATACTCAAAGTAACCAGTTCGAAAAATTTTGTAAATATATTCATTTTAGAATACAAGTATTTTTGCAAATTACGAATGTTAATAAGCGCTTTTGTAGATTTGAGCAATTATTAATAAAAGAAATTTAGTTCTAAAGTTTAGAAATAAAACTACTGAGATCACCCGTTGTTCATTTTAACAAAATATTTCAGCAATTAATTTTCAGGGTTTTATAAGAATGTAAAACTAATTCTTTATGGTAATACACAGTTTTAAAATTTACATAACATCAGGTTTCTTTTGAAACAAGCATAATGAATAGTTTTAAGAAATCAGAGAATTCGTTCGCTTTTCGGAAAAGTTTAGTTCTACTTTCTAACTATTCGCTCCGCTAAAACAGAAATTACCCTTCTTTTAAAACGTCGCATGACACTTCCTTTCATGCTTTAAGGGCATATCATTACCATCTCAGATTACCTAAAATTAATGATCTTAATAGTCAAAGAGGGAACTTCTCTTGTAGTGAAACAAATTATGTTTCATTAAAGGTGACTTGAAATCTTCATTAGAGACCTAATAACCAAGGTAATTGGGTCTTCACAAGAACCAGATTTTATACCTGGCAGAAATGTTTCTAAGCTTTACATGTCCTTAATAAGGTTCCTAATAATCACTTCACTGCTATCATGGTCTGAATTGATTAGAGTAAATGCGCAAAAGGAAGATAGCGAATAAAATACGTTGCGGAGATGGAAATTTTTCCTATTTCAATATTTAAGCGAAACTTATGACATCTATCAGCTTTAGTATTATACAATTTTTAAGATACTACCTCATTTTATTGTTTTTTAATTTTTCACAGATGGAATACACGATGAAATTAAACTGTGTTGATTCTGTCTCTAAAATATTTTTAGATAAGTTAGGAAAAAAATGTTCACGTAGATCCCTTTATATTTATTTGACAAACTCTACTTATTGATTTTGAAAATCACTTGAATTTAATTTTCATTCTTCGCTCATGAAAATAGTTCAATTATTTAAAGCCTTTTGTTCTTTAGTCCTTTTTTTTCACTTTCAATGTAAAATAATAAAAACGCATTACCCTAGTAATTAAAAGGGTAGGTTTTAAGAAATATTTAATTAACTAATAATACAAAACTTTTATTTTTATTATTTTAAGTGGATAAGTCACTCCTATAGAAGAAATTTGAATTGTACATTGTTTTTAACCTGCTCCGTGTTTTTACTCCACATAATATTATTTTTTCTATTAAAAACTCTTCGTGCACGCGCGAAATCTTTTCCAGACTTATATAGATTTTATAATTGTTCAAGTGAATAATAAACTGCGTGTTTTAATCACTTTTGTCGTTATTCATCTGAATCACTGGTTAAGTTGTTTATTCTGAATTTCATATGTTTCATTATAAAAAAATAAGGAACTGTACTTATTTCCTAAAGTTAAAAATCTAAGCTCTATAAAATATTTCTTGTATTTGTTGAGTCTTTTTAACAATGAATTATTGAAAAATAAGATATTTATAAAATTTCCATAAGAAATACAATACTAGATTTATATTTAAAATAATTTAAATGAAATTTCACTAAATTCTGCTAGTTTTTCAATGATTCATATAAAGTTTTTCAATGATAGTGTGTGTGTGTGTGTGTGTGTGTGTGTGTGTGGTGTGTGTGGTGTGTGTGTGTGTGTGTGTGTGGTGTGTGTGTGTGTGTGTGTGTGTGTGTGTGTTGTGTGTGTGTGTGTGTGTGTGTGTGGTGTGTGTGTGTGTGTGTGTGTGTGGTGTGTGTGTGTGTGTGTGTGTGTGTGTGTGTGTGTGTTGATTTATTTTAAAGAATTTAAAAGAATAAGTTTACAATTAATAAAAAAGAGTTTATTATTAATGTCCATATAGACTTTATAGGCATGTACGTATATACATATATGCATTTATACTTTATATGCTTCCGTATTAGACTTTATATCCGCTGTTGTTCAAAATTAAGAAAATTTGTATGTTTCTTCGAATCTCATGAAAATTTTTAACAAAATGTATAACTACTACTTTGAAACACATTTGTATATATTGTGTGTTGACCACTTAAGCCTATAATTGTGTGTTGAATACGTAAGCGTATAATTGTGTGTTGAATACTTAAGCGTATAATTGTGTGTTGAATACTTAAGCGTATAATTGTGTGTTGAATACGTAAGCATATATTTGTGTGTTGAAAACGTAAGCGTATAATTGTGTGTGTGCAGAGATAGTCAATTAACAGGGTTTTTATAGGTGCGCGCACCAAGATCTGCATTTAATTCACTAGCCACCAAATTTCGTAGTGTGTGTGTTTTTTTAAAAAATTAGAAAAATTTTTAAACAGCAAAAATGAGTAACATCAAAGTTTAGATGATGGAATGAAGTGGAGAAATGTGGGTAGGCTAAAAGCGACCAGTCTCAAATCTAGATTTATAGAGAATTCAATTTAAAACACAGCGTTTAACTTATGGAAACAGTTTCAGGATGCCACATCCATGGAGATAAAGTCTACACAAAATTGTTCAAGAGCCACAACAACCAGAGAAAATCGTCATTTGTCCGTTGTAATGAATAATAACAGGAATGCTACCGCGCCTCAGTTCTCTCGTTAGTTGTATAGGGACACAAAAACCTAAATTTCAAGGGTGACTGTTTTCAGAACGTTTCATCAGAGAGGGCTGCTTATAAAAAGACATATTGGTTGTGTTTCTCTCAGTTCTGCGAACTGGAGAATCCTCTTAAAAGGGTGCACAGATCATAGAAATTGTATCATGGATCAATGAGCTACTGTTCTCTTCGCTGATGAATTCTGTTTCAGCCCAACCAGTGATTCTTGCCGTATTTTCATATAGAGAGAACCAAGGACCCTCTACTTGCCCTCCGAAAAATCGAACATTACCAGCAGCAGAAGCTTGATGGGCTGGGCAGGTATCACATTGGATGACAGCATATATCTGAATGTTTTTGAAAGAGGCATTGTGACTCCTGTAACGCATAGAAATGAGATATGTTCGCCTTTTCACGGGTGCAAAGTTGGCCGTGATTTTATTTTATTGGATAATCACGCGAGTCCTCATAGAGCTCATCTGGTCAACGAACTTTTGGAAAATACGGATATTCGCCTGATAGATTGGCCACTCTGATCTTCAAACTTCATCCTTATAGAACATGCCTGAGTTTAACCAGAGAAGGCAATTGAAACTCGCAAACCCCTTTTAAACCATCCAAGTTCTGAAAAAGCATTCCTGAACGACTAAGGT